AGGCAGACCCACACGTCCTGGGCTACAATTACAAGAGCACGCGTCTTTGCCAAAAACACATTTTGTCTTGTTTTGTTTGGAAAATAACCGCTAAAATTTTAAATTTCAGGTAACCTGAGCAGCAGAAATGACAAATGTTGATTAAAGTTAACTTTTTATTCAGATTGGTAACGATATTTCGCTCCCAAAGCGGTCTGTTATCTTTTCCACGTGCGCACTGTTGATTTTCACCTCCAATTACGTGGCAAGGAATGGCGCGTTTTGACCTCTGAGCCACTTTTGTTTGGGGTCCTTAAATTTCGTAGTTTGAGTAGCCCAAAAATTCTATTAGATTTTTTTGAAGAACAAACCTTGTTCTTTCGCTGGATTAATTTGATATAATCCCATGCCATGTACCAAGGTATGATTTTACCCTCTCAATTTTGCCATTTTTTTGTCCGCCAAAATGAGTAAAATATTGGAAAAAGCCAAAAATTCCCGAAAAATTTAGATTGTAACGGAATCGAACAAAGAACACTTCAGACTGTTTGTAAATACGTGTTCTTTTCGTTAGGAAAATATTTGGACACATTTACTGTTTTGTTTATTTTCAGGCGACGTTCAAATAATGGTTGTCTAAACCTCGTGAAGCTGAAGTGAGAGCCACAAAACCCTTTTTTGTCGTCGTTCGCGAAAAATAAAAATGCAATTGAACTTAAAGTATTTTTTTCTAGAAATAGTTCATCCGGACCTATCTTCTGGCAAAGTTTGGGGATTTTCGATTTTTTCATATTGCACACCTCCGGGCGATATTTACGGACGGCCGCTCTAAAGCTTTGACGATTCACCATATTGGTTCACAGTCGATCACAGTAAGACCAAAAACGTTCACCTTCAAAAGTGTCTGATTAATGTATAATATCAAGGCTGATGTGTTTGAGAAAAGTAAAATTAATTTAAGTAATATATCAACTGGTAAGCATCAGAATAAATAGCACCTGCTTACCATGGAATAATATGGAAAACCATGTCCAAGGTGCTATAATGGTGCTTCGAGGCATTGTTTTCCTGGCAAAATTTGAAAGCTTGCATGCTTGAGCGCGCGTTGTTGACGCATATCTTTGACGTTGTTAGATTTTCCCTATTTTTTGGGTTCCCTGTTCTACGTAGAAGCTTGTAGAACGAGACCTGTTTTCCGTATTTTGTATTGTACACGAGGTCTTCTATCAGATTAAAAATTAGTTCTTACCGCCATCTTGATCTGGTTTACTGTGTTCTTGGCCTTTATTCGGAATACACAGCAACTGGCGACGAGGATGGGATTCCTTTGATCAATCACAAGCGGTTAACAGGAGTGGGTCGTACAAATCACGTCCAAAAGGGACAGACACGACGGGAAATGCCGGACGAAGCACCGAGCGCTAACACGAGTCAAGCCATCGGCAAAGTGACAAAGTTTGTGGTGGGGGCGGATTGGGAGTCCCCCACCGAACAACTGGATTTTTACTTTCTTGCAAATGGAATTAAGGAACCTAAAACGATGAAGGCCGTACTTTTGACAAAGCTTCCGGTGGAAACTTAGCAATTGGCGAAGGATTTAGTGGCCCCCGCACAACTGAAAGATGACGCCATTACCTACGAGATCATCGTGGAGCGAATGCGGGAACAACTGAAACCTGAAAGATCAGCGCTGGTTGCGAGATATGAGTTCGACAACCAAGCCAGGAATTCCGGTGAGTCACTTAGTCATTATGTAGCCACTCTGAAGCACTTGGCCACAGAATGCAAGTTTGGAGAGGCCATGCAAACAAAGCGCCTTCGTGACCGATTAGTTTCGGGTATCCGCGACTCGAAGATGATTACGGAGTTGTTGAAAGTAAAACTCGCCGACCTTTCTTTTGATCTTGCGGTTCAAAAGTGTTTGGCCATTGAGCACGCTAATAAAGATTTTCAGGTGCTTCAGGGAGAACAAGGGCCAGGCACGCCAATCAATAAACCTGACACTGTCAAAACTGGGGAAGAAGAAGCCACGTCCAAGCCACCACCTAAGGCCGAGGGTTCCCGGGGTAAGGACAGTAAGAAGTCTAAACCTTGTTAGCGCTGTTCAGGGTCGCATAACTCACAAAAGTGTCCCTTCATGAAGGAACGCTGCTTTCACTGTGGCATAATTGGACATACACAGAGAGCATGTAACAAGAGACAGGCCACCCCACAGACGACTGAAGCTGGAATAAATGTTATGGAGGGTGAAGATTCCGAAGAAAGCAATGGAGAATTTGGGAACCTGTTCCATGTCTCAGACATTAAAAACAAAAATCCCATTTCACTTAAGATCTACCTTAAAGGCCGCCCAGTGACTATGGAGCTGGATACAGGTTCAGCGGTGTCAGTCATGAGTGAGAGGGTGTATTTGGAATACCTCCTTTAAAGGACACCTCTTTGAAGTTGCGCACGTACACAGGGGAGTCAGTGAAGCCCATGGGGTTTTACTATGTGACTGTGCAGTGTCATGGACAGTCAAAGGAACTTCCCATATATGTAGTGAAGAATGAGGGACCCACCTTTTTGGCAGAGAATGGCTGGAATCTATCCATCTGGACTGGCCCTTACTTCGTCTGGAAACATCGGACACCATTCCAGCCCTGGAAGATGTCTTGAGTAAACATAGAGATGTTTTCTCTGAAGGTTTGGGCAAGTTGAAGAATATTCAAGCATGGATCCAAGTTAAAGAGGATGCCTGGCCTCGATTCTGGAAAGCCCGCCCAGTAGCGCTGGCTCGTAAACCAGCAGTGGACGAAGCATTGAGAGAGCTGGAAGCTGAAGGAGTTATAAAGAAGGTAGCTACTAGTGAGTGGGCTGCTCCAATTGTGACTCCTGTGAAGAAGGATGGCAGTGTAAGAGTGTGTGGCGATTTCAAAGTGACCATCAATTCACAGCTGGAAGTAGAGGAGTACCCTCTTCCCCACATTGATGATATTTACGCCAGCCTCGGTGGGGGAACGTTGTTTAGCGTCATTGACTTGCGTCACGCTTACTTACAAATGGAGGTCGAGGAGCACTCCAGGCCTTTCCTCACCATTAACACAACCCGCAGTTTGTTCCGGTACCAGCGCCTTCCTTATGGTGTAGCTTCGGCACCAACCATCTGGCAGCGAGCCATGGATCAGATCCTGCAAGGACTACCAGGGGTCTTCCGTTGCCTGGATGATATCATTATAACCGGCCATACCATAGAGGAACACCTTGAGCGGTTAGTTGCAGTATTGAAGAGGCTGGAAGAGTATGGTTTGAAGGCCAACCGAGAGAAGTGTAAATTCCTTAAAAGCTTTGTGGAGTACCTTAGACATGTCATCTCTGCAGAAGGACTGCATCAATCCCCAAAGAAAGTAAAGGCTATCACTGAGATGCCGAAACCTCAGGATGTTACTCAACTGCGTGCTTTTCTTGGCATGGTCCAGTATTACACCAAATTCTTGCCCGATCTGGCCACTCATCTTGCTCCACTTCATCGGCTGTTACAGAAAGATGTAAAGTGGTTGTGGGGAGCTGCGGAACAAGCTAGTTTTCTGGTGGTGAAAGAAATGTTGCTGCAGGATATGGTGACCTATTTTACTGAGGATTTGGTATGTCACATTTGACCTTGTTATTTTGTCTTAGAGTTTGAGTTCAAGAATCATACATTCATATGTACCTACCTCAATCCCATTGTCTTGTCTTTGCTTGAATCCTTGGTTGATTTATGTTCAAAATGTGTCTTGAGTGTATTCAGCTTTCAGAACATTGTATTTATCTGTACCTTTCATTCATTAGACATGTTATGTGATACTGTATTAGACTAAGTTCACTGGTGAAATTCTAATAGCTCACCATTTAATAGTTACATGTTTGGATAAGAGGATTAGTATTTTATTAACTGTCACACGATGATCACTGTTCTGTTATGCAATGCTTTGAAATTGTCTTGTTTGTTAAATTTAGTGCATTGCCAATGCCTATATTCTATTGTACTTTTACTAGTTGTTTTATTTTTTAATTATTTATTGTCAATTATTTGTTGGTGATTTTCTATTTATTTATTTCTTTTAGCTTGCAATCACCCTTTTCTTTTTTGTAATTTTCCTGCATAAATAAATTTTATTGTGGCTTTAGGTCTGTTTCATTGTTCAGATAACAACATCAGAACCTGCCTTGGTCATAAAAGTTTATAATAGACGTGGTTATTAATTGGTAACTTCAGAAGAACAGAAGCTATAGTTGTAGTGAAAACAAAGACCCCAAAAGCTAAGATCTAAGACCAAAGACCCAGAAACAAAGACCTGACAGACAACTTTATTTTCTTTATGTCATATGATCTTGTTATGGATTCTGGCCAGAAATATCCATTTCCACTTTTATTCTTTCTAGCATCGGGGGTGGAAGCGGAATAATTGGATCTCACTTATTCATTATTCCTTTAATTTTTTTCGAGGTTTTACATTATTCACTTTTAAATTTTTCTCGTTATTCATTGTTCCGTATTCGAGTTTTTTAGGCAGTTTCTAATTCGCCTTATTGTGAAATAGATGATTTCACTTCAATTAAAATGTGATTTAAAACCGTCAGCGTCATGTTCAATCTAATTACC